CAGTATACATGTCGGTCATTTTGGCATCACGAGAGATGGTGGTGGCTTGGAAAGGCGTTCATCCAGGAGCGAATTGACCATGGCTGATTAAGACGATGATGATTATTTTAGCATTGCCTAAATAAAATATCACTTGGCCATCCGGAGTCACGAGTGATCCTAGGATCTCAGCCTCCCTTTTTTTTTAAAGCCCAAATGCACAAGGCGTGCCGGTTCTTTGTTGTTGTTGTTACCGACCTTGAGACTGAGAATCTGAGAATCTGCCCCACAACAAAGGGATGCAGGCGACTCGGCACGCCGAATCACAACAGCCGCCCTCATCTCTGGGACGATGGCGTTCCGCTGGCCTTACCCCCAGGGGTGCTGTCCCTCGTGGATTCTCGTGCGATCCGCAGCGGCGCTCTTAGCTTTTCACACTCCGACCGAGCGCAAACGCTTCGCAAAAAGTGAGAACCTGTGCAGAGCGCCGTACACCAGGCTCGAGCGGGGATGTCCCATCGGCAACGCACGAAAGTGAAGCCGTGTAGGATTAACAAAGGAGGTAAAGGTGCAGCTCTGCAATTTCTTGCTCATATCACCGCTGGCGTCTACTGCAGGGAGCTCTACAAAAACCCCTCGAGAGGGCACTTGGCCTATTCTTCCACGCTGAACAGACGTCTCAGGAGAGATGAGAGTACCTACGCCATAGCCGACCACATGCACCAATCGAAAAACTGTGGTGTACCCAATTACACCCACTGTGTTAGTCTTTCATGATCGGTTTGAGACCATCAACTAATTTCGCTTGAATATTCGGTTTATTAACAGGCAACCTGCCGACCTGGATATGAGCTCAGGAACTCAGTGGTGCCAGTTCAGCGCTCGGACCTCTGAGCCACCACATGCACGGTTGAACAACCTCTCAGACCATATCCCTGCGTACGTGAAGGTCAGGTCGACCAAAGCAGTGTGTGTGCACACACATTGGACCTCTAGTTTGCTGGCATCAGATCTGTGTCAATAAAAGGTCACACACAGTAGTACACAGCGCATGCTCGGAGATATAACAGCGGTCAGCAAACATTTGCTGAAAAAAAAATCAATGTAAGCAAACGGTTCCGCTTCCTCACAAGCTGCGATGCAAGAGGAGGAAAAACCATTTCGGTTCTATAAATATTCTATTGTATTTGTTAATTCTAAAATTACAGACAGAAATTGCAACTAAATCACCATGAACGTGTCTGATCCTGTCAGATATAAAAAGTCCCACGTGGTTGAACCTGAACACTTCCTGGGAATTTACAGGCTTCCTTGAAAGACATTAAGATTGGGCTTCAACGTGACGAAAATGATGGCAGTACAGCATTGGATGCTTGAATCCATCTGTGTGGAGCTATGAGCGTTACCCCCCTTCTAAGCCTATACCAAACACTCGTTCATGGATTTGATCAAACATCCCACTGCAGGAATATCCTGAAAAAGAGGTCTATGGATGCAGCGAGGCCTTTCTGGGTACAGTTTTTTTATAAATATGATTAAATTCCACGTTTTGCACTTCTATGACATGCAAATTGTATAACTTGGAAATTAATTAATTACTACTTTTTTTTATGAACCTACAACATGGCATTGGAGGTGGGTAGTGAATCCCGGCAAGATAGTTTACAATGATTTTCACAAGCGCTGAAACGCTTTTGGAGCCGCTACCCACCCACACCCCATCCTAAATTTCCAGACACAGCTGTGCGCAGCCCTTCACAGATTTATCTCGGGAGTTGGCATGCTGGAGTTCTGTTTTCTTTAAGGGAAGTATGGAATTTGTCACAGGGTAAAAGCAGGAACAATGAAACGGAGCCCACATGGACAGCGGAGATGCTAGTCATCCGGATTTCAGTCGGAGGTTGATGGCGGAGTCGGATACAAAAACCGCAAAAAATGTAAAACTCCCTTTTTTTGCCCTCTTGCAAGATGTGTAAAGACGATGGGACTTTTGATAAGACATATCTCAAACCCGACACCGTTCATTCTCCGATGGCATGGAAACAATCGGGAGTAAACATTTTTTTATTTTCTTTTTTAAAGCTGGTGCCTCTCTCCTGTTTGGAATGAACTGTTCCACCCAGGGCACAGCCACTGGTGGGTGTCGTGGGCATCCAGACACCCCAGAAGTTTCAGACATGCCTAGGAGAAGACATCCCTTCACCAATCCACGCTGAGCAGCATGGTGAAGTATGGTAAAATAACCCCCATGGCCTTGAGGGCCTGTGGCGATCTTCATCAGACAATGCATTGACAAGAGGATGCAAATTATTAAATTTTATTATTTAAGAGGCACCCACTACAGTTTTGGACAAATCATATTTTTTTATTGGAGTTTTTCTCCATTCAACAAGGTGAATTCATTGCTGATTATGCACAAATCCTGATGAGGGAATCTTTAAATACACAGCAGTGCACAAACTCATGGGCTGAGACAGTAGCCAGTAGTTGTGTAGATTTTATAGAAGTACAGGAGAACTCCTCTTATCATTGACTAAGTAGGGGGCAAACTTCGCCAGATCCTACCAGTAACCTAACGAATAACCACCGGCAAAGCGTTCGCATACAGGTCTCTCACCGGGGGACTCACACCGGGGACTCACGCCGTGAGACTCGCACCGGGGTCTCACACCGGGAACTCACACCGCATCAACTTCCAGAGTGTGGCTGTGTCCCCGTGTGGTGGCTCATTGAGAAGCGGCACAAAGCGCTGGGAGAACCGGGCGGCACAAAGCACGAGCCACCCAGAGCACGTCCTGTCGTGAGCATTTTCACGCCAATGCAATTGTGAGCGGAAGGGCGGTGGCGGCCGCCCACCACCACCACCACCAAATGTACAGAGGAAAGGGCGTGCCGAAGGCAACTTCCTCCAGAGCCACCACAATGCCCCCACTCGGCTCGTGGTACACGTGCACACGAGACAAAGATCCCCCATATAGCCTTGATAGACTTTTGGGGCAAGTGCTATTAACGAGCACCTGTGAAGGCCGGCACGGCACACGAGGGGGTGGGTGGCCAACACCACGCCCGGCCGCCTTTGTCTCCCCAGTGGTGATTTACACACCACACCAGGTACTCATTTGAGGAGAGGCTAGGGCTGCCGTTCAGATAATCGTCACTCGTGTTGGTCGTGAGCAGGAATCAAACTCGGGTGGCCGGGTTCGTAGCGCTACACTAACACTCCCCACATGTGCACACACACACACGTGCACACACACACGTGCACACACGTGCACACACAAGGTCCAGCACTGCCGAGGCCTCCAGGCAAAAAAAAATCCCACTCAGTGAAAAAGGAACCAAACTCATGTCTGTCGCTTGGTATTGTAATAAGAGGGGAAAACAAAATGTCTTAATGTTTGTTTCAAAAAAGAAACTTAGCGTCGAATCTCCTTCCCCATGTTTGACTGCTAAAAATGTATCCGCTTGCCGGTTATGAAAGCAAACACTCAAACTTGGGGCATCACCAGATGGAAACAGTTTCATTCACACTGAAGCAGATAATTGCTTTAGTGCTCGGTCAAACCTGTATTTATACAGCGTTTCATGACAACTGGATCAGCTGCTTTGGCAAAGTTTATCTGAAGCATGAAGTGACACCAGCTCTTCCTACACAAATACAGCCACATGTTCTGTGAATTAAAACAATATTTATTTATACTCTAAGAGTATTTGTCGATAAAGACTAAATATAAATGTCCATGGCAGTGTGGATTGTGTCATTGTCCCAGGCCTCTATCTTCGACATTGAGCAAATACAGTGCCCATTACAAGCTGAATTTACTATTAGTATCATCTATGTTGTGCATCGAGGCTGTGAGAGGTGATCTTGAATTTTCAAACTGTGATCGACGTAAACAAGATGGGCAGTCTGCATTCCTCGGTGAGCATGTGGTCTGGTGATTAAAGACCAGCCCATTAACCACAACTCTGATGTTTGTCATCTGCAAGTCAAAACAGCTTTAATTCCCCAACACTGCGAGTACAAAGGATGACTTTTTTTCTTTCGAAAACCAGAATTATTTCTGTTTCACAAACCGGTGCCCTACGCTGTCAACACTCTCCCAAAGACGCTGCTACTCTCAAGGCTTGAATTGGGAACTTCAGTAGAGGCTGCACAACTGCGTGCGCGAAGGATCAACAACGTGTGGATACGACGCGGTGTTGGGAGTATGATCAATTAAATCTCACGACCCACACAGCACGTGGAGACTCTCATCCAGCAGTGGTCAGGGGTGCCATGGTGGGGAGATGTTAACGACCTTGCTTGGTATACAGGAGGTCATGGGTTCGATCCCGACCCCAATTGCCTGCTGTATATTTGGCGTTTGCAATGTCTCTCTCCCCGTGGTCGCATGGATTTTTCTCCGGGTCCTCCGGTTTTTCCCTCCCCATTTAGAAACAACATGCGTTTAGAGTATTTGGCTGCTATACATTTTCACGTGATAAGCCACTTCGTTGAGCTATCATTTGTGGCCAGGTCGCGTTCTAAAAAATAGCTATATAGCTCAGTGGGCCTTACCTGATGAAATAAATATAGTTTAGAGTTTAGTTTAGCTTGTCGCTTGTTGCTAAGGTTTGCGATTCGAGCCCAGCAGCTACCCTGTTTAATACTGCAGGTGCGTTAATCACTAAATAATCCCCGTCCGCTTCGCAGTGGATGGTAAAGATCCTGTGACGTTATTTGAAAAAGCGTGTGCAGGCGTCGTGGTCCAAATATGTCAAATTTGAAAACGTATCCCAAAAATTACTTAGTCTGGTAAAATCGCATGGCAACACCACCCGCTTCTGGCAAACTACACCCATCCATGATACGCAGCATTTTCATGATAGCCTGGTGCTATTAAAAAAAGAATGCGAAATCCAAACACTCATTATTATAGATATTACACTGACAAAGGGCTGGGTGGCGTGCACGTGCACCGCAGGGCGGAAGTGAGGGGGGCGCGAAAGGGGTCGCTCGGCAGCCCCCGGGGACCCACCTCTCGTGTTTGTAGCCATGTCCGCCACCTTCTGAAAAGCCTCCAGGAAGGCTCCCGCTGCCGTCAGCGTTGTCCTGCAAAAGCCCAAAGTATAAAAAATTAAATAATCGTCCAAATGCCACGCGCGTCGTCCTGTCTGAGCGGCCAATCGTCGGAAAAGCCAGGCGCGCACACACCGGCGCGTACCGTAATCCCCATCACAATGCTTAAACGGCGAAAAGAGCTCATGGGATTTGGGACGAGGATCGCAGAACCGTCCATTAGAATGGCGTTGTCATGAAAACACGGCCTTTGCTGAATGGTGTGTTTGCTTTCCTGGATTTGCTCTGCTGCCAACACCCCAATGTACGCGCTACGACCTGGTGGAAAGGTAATGCGCACAGACAACGACGGGTGGTGGGCCGACGCATGATGCGTGTCAAGTCTGATTTCGTGCTTCTGGGTGTCTATTGAAACAAACAACTTAAAGAATTTGGATACACAAGCCGTAAGACCGCAAGTGAATAGGTAATTAGCCTGTACGGGCGTACACTGTGTTTGCATCTGTTATTATACAGGAGCTTGACACAAATTTAATGAGCTATAAATGAACATTCTCATGTGCGTGTACCCTTGCAAAGACTATTCTGTACTTTATAATGCATTTTATATATGCAAGTCATAAAATGTGCCACCCTAGCAGTTTGAGAAAATGAAAATAATTTTTATTGGACAAAAGGCAAACCTACAGTTAATTTCCATGAAGCATGTCACATTAACTGCTTTTTCAATGAAAAAAATACAGAATGGCATGTTATAAAATAAATCTAAGTCTAAATCAAAATAGCTCCAAGTCCATTGGATTGCACAAATGGCAACTGCAAAAAAATACAGCATTCATTTTTGAAAGTCGACTGATCAAAAAGGTTTATTTGTGTTGATTTTTTTCTCTGTCAGAGGACATTGCTTTTAATGTTTAACCGCGTCTTATTTAACCCGTACTGTATATGCACGCACTCGGTGTTCTCGGTCACAATGCCCATTGTCGTGCTTAGAAACCTGCGTCTGGTCTTATTTAGTGGTGCTTTTACTTATGACTTTCATTTGACCTCAGGCTGCTGCAAACAAGCCAACGACCACACAGCGGCGGCGAGCATGCACGTTGATGCCAATGACGCCAAGTCGTGGCACAAATCGACAAGAAAGGCACACGGATTCCGTGCAAGGATAAGTCCCGAGTAAAAACGAACGTGTGAAAAATGAACTGCGGATTATATTGTGCATAAGCAGCTCAAACCGGCACACTCGTACCTTGCGTAACGACGAGAGAAATTAAGCATATTTCTACCAAGTGGCGTGTTTGCAATAAAAAAAATAGGCCGATTTGGCTGTGAAGAGGCACCCTCCGCCTACGTGAGTTTAATTGTTACCTAAAAGTGCAAACTGAATGTGCAATAAGCGCAACTTTGCAAAGGAATATGACCTTTATATATAATTGTAACCACATAGGAGCCCTTTGCGAAAAGGCGTCCGTTTCCCAAGGGAGGCTTGGGGTCAAAACACTTACACCATTACAAACGCAATGCAGTAAAAGAATGATCATGAAACGTAGCAAACTGCAACACGTGGATCACAGGTATATAAACACACATCTGCAAATTAAGTGACTGTTGCTCATGGCGAGTGGTGCACGCACCAAATCAATCACCACATTCGTCATTAACACTGCCTGAGCACAGAAATTCCAGCCTACCACCAGACATTTTTTCGGATATGAGGCTGTGTTAATAATGGATTTGCTGATTTATTTAACACATATAACACATATGCAGTGATTTATATAACACATATGCCTGCTGCATATATACAGCAAGCAGAAGTAATACGCATGGGCGTTATAATCTGCATAATTTCCACTTCAAGTTGGGGCTAAATCAAAAACTAACCAAGTTGCTTGGCCTCATTATATTGTAAGCATGCATCATAACTGTAGCCAGTAATCAGATCATCGTTTGGTACCAATTAGGCTTTGTCACAAATGTCTGGACCAACGGATTTGTAATTGCGTTCCGCAGCCGGCCAACGCTTTACTCGAGAGCAAAGGCAAAGATTTCGCACGTCGGTGCCTCTGGGAAAATCTGCGCGTAATGAATGCAACCACCGTCGCGTGCAGAGGTTCAGACAGCTCGGGAGTTCGATCGCTGGTCAGCCCGAATCAGGCACAGCAGCAACGACAGCAACGCTCAGCTCCCTGAGGTTAGTCCCGCAGTCATGCACTGTCAGCACCAACCACGGTCCTCTCACGGGCCACAACCTCTAACCGTTCATCTGACTCTGTACTCAGCGAGGCAGCATTCTGGCAGGGACTCGAGAGCAACGTCTGCTGAATTCTAAGTGCCCCAAAAAACCGCATGGTGACAGAGCCCCATGCACACACGCGGGAGTGTATGCGTGTGCGTGCGCGTGTGTGTGCGCGTGTGTGTGCGCGAGTGTGTGTGCGAGTGTGTGTGCGAGTGTGTGTGCGTGCGTGTGCGTGCACGTGTGTGCGCGTGTGTGTGCGTGTGTGTGTGTGCGTGTGTGTGTGCGCGAGTGTGTGTGTGTGCGTGCGTGTGTGTGCATCTGGCTGCCGCCGGCGCACCACTGCGATGTCTCGCGACGTTCGCTCGCCTCTCTCCAGTCAGTTGCTCTGAGTGCTCACACATTACCCGAGGATGCATCCACAGCCTGTGAATTTGATGGTGTGTAACTCTGGCCATTAAACTCCACTTCGATGATCATCAAGAGCCATCGCTGGCGTCTCAAAGTGCCGACATCAAGCACGGAGAGATCAGTACATTTATGAAAAGGTGCAATCATTTCTCCAAGTCAGTGAGGACACTGCAATGTCGTATTGATGCAAGCTCATGTTACTAAACTGGTGCGCACTTCAATTTGCATTTGCTAATAAAATGTTGCCAAGTGGGGTTGTAATCAATCGTTTGTAATGAAATGTGAATACATGGAACTGACCTGAGCTGTGAATGCAGCTTTGAAGCTCTGCTGATGAAGTCCTCCCAGATCGGGTAACTGACCTGTGAGCAGACAGACGCGCCACCCTTAGCACAGAGCACAGCCTTCAACAGACAGGACAGCTCACACAGCAGAGGGCCCAGCACAGCCTCTCAAAGACACTGCTGACTGCATATCATTACAAGTCGATAAAAAGGGAACCAATTCCAAAAGGGCGATGTGCAGCATACACACAAGAATTGCGACGTTTTCCTGACATGCAAAACATGCTGCAATTCCTGTTATGATTTGCTGATTTAAGACACCTCTTTGCATATATATTTTAGAGAGAAGCTCATTTGTTTGACAGGTCTCTTCTCCGTTATAAGATTTGGGGTCAGACCTGGAGTCAATGATAATAATTTATATTGCAGCATTGTTAGCAGAAATTACAATTGTACAATGACACTGTTATTATAATGTATTTCCCAATCACACAATTACAATTGTCCCCCTGGGTCTGCCTGCAGATGTGCACGGGGTTGTACTGTACTATCAGGCCATCAGGCATTTCACGTAACACCACACATGTACGGCAAGTTAAATGGTCTTCCTGCTGATTAGCGTTGAGATTTAAGTTTGACAGAGACTGCGAGAGGTTCAACTTCAGGAAAGACTTGTTGAGCAAATGCCCTGATGGACTGGTGGCTTCGTGCAACCCTGGGGTTCTACAGGCTGCCTATTTGTACATGGAAAATATTTGGCAGTGGGGGTAGGTGCCCCAATTTTAGGCAGGGGAAGAATCAATATCCTGTGCCAATCAAAAAAAGATTCTCAATCAGCCACCTTGTCTGCTTGATCATGGGTCACCATGGCTACTTGCCACCCAGATTCAAAATAATTGCCACTTGCCAGCAGGAAGCACCACAATATCAGTAACAGTCCACTGGCAAAATGGTCCAAAATATAATTGTAATATTGTTGTAATAATAATAATGTTCTTTATTTACCCAGAAAAATCCTCAACGAGACTCAAGACTGTTAAAAAAAATCCCACATTCGTATTTTGAGCAAATTCTATTTCACAAGTCTTATAAAACGTGGGACGAAACTGAAGCACCTGGAGAAAAAGCCACCATGCATACGAGGTGACACTAAAACGTCTGCACAGAAGTCTCCCATCCAGATACTAACCAGGTTCAACACGCTTAGCTTCTGAGATCCGATGAGCCCAGGTGCATTCTGGTTAATTTTCTGATTGCCAATACATTTGTGAAAAAGTATGATTGGTTGAAAACATGTGTAAATATATAACTGGATAATACCAGCCAGACTATTTCAAACACTTCCGAGTCAAGTTATTCTAATTTTCGTTTCATTAAATCATTCACCGCATATATTCCTCTTCAGTTTGAGCCCCTTATAATTGTGCCAGTAGTACAGGGCACCCTTTGTTGTTAATGCTTATGGAGGGAGGCACACCAGCCACGGCAGATAAGCCACCTAATTACCTGCAAGAGTAATCTGGATGAGGAGATTACACTTGAACACATTGCTTAAATTAAATGTAAATCAGAACAACAAAAATAAACAACTTTTGAACATGAATTAAAAATGTCAATGAATATGTATTTTGTTTCCTGCCGGTCTCAAATGACACAAGTTGAGCCCTTCCTCGCCCTCTTATTCAATGTAAAGATTGAGAACAGGAGGGGAAAGCTCAGTGGTGACGCATCCTGGCATTGTTTAACCCTGCAATCGATGCCTCGCACGCACGTCGGGCTTGTGAAATGAGATGCATACGCACCCAATGTCAGAACGCATATGCATCATCAGTGCCCCACCCGCATCACCCACCGTGACTGGGGCTATTCAGTGTTTGTATATTGAACTTCTTTCACACAGTACATAGCCAACCATGCTAATCAGAGGTGTGGAGGGGAAGTAGTAGGCACATTGCACTACGAACCAAGCAACCTGAGCAATGATTGGTTATGAAATATTGTTCCACGCGTAATACAGATATCACACATACACACGTATAACCATACCCCAACACAGCAATGTGTCTTAGTGTGCATAGATGATCATGAGTGGATGAGTGAATTATGCAAGAGCTTTGAATGTTTGATGCATCTGAAATCTACATTTGTTTTTCATTTGGGCCCCACTAAATGTTCCAGCCTGCTGGTTGATTTTTTTACTCTGAGAGCAAGACTAGGTAAAAGTTCTAAATTGCTTCACGTCCCATGTTAAAACACTTACAAAGAATACACCCACTCCATTATCAGTCAACAATGTCTAACTCCTGTATGTGATGCTAAAATACCAATATAGATCACGCAAAGGTCGCTATGGGTTGTTAGCATTGTATATGCTACTTTAAATAGAGTATTTCTACACATGCCCCTTTTCTAAAAAGTGCGGTTATGTTTATTGTTTCACGGCTGCCTCTGTCCAACTCACCCCGGGATTTGCCGGTCTGATCACGCCTCGAAAGCTAAGTCGGCGTTGAGCCCGGACAGTGCACGAATGGGCAACCACCATGCACAGAGACGGGTGTAATAGGTGGTGGTGTGTGCACCAGAGGATTGTGCAGCAAAACAATGAATTGCTGCTGTACTGCACTCTCCCCAACATTCACCAAGCCGCACTGATCGCCGCGGGGTGAAGGATGTTCCAACAACCTTCACAGCCGGCACGCACCGCGTGGGGAGGCCCTCATCCAGCAGCAGATTGACGCAAGGGGTGTACGTGTCCTGTACAACGAGCAATATGCAATGCAGTTCCACCCAGCAGCCAAGACCCATGACGGCATGGCTTGGCTGTTGGCAGGCAACTCCCTCGTATACCTGAAGCAAGGGCGTCTCTGTTACACAGAGGCACAGAAGGTGCGACGTGCTGTGGTGGTTACCGCACCGCGCTATGAATCAAGTGACCGAGGTTCAACTCTCAGCATGGCTGATGACATCAGTGGCAACTGATGTCTTTAAGGAGGTTCTGGACTCCCACCCACCCGTCACTAATATGAACTGACCCAGTGTGGTGAAGTATGGTCAAACAACCCCCATGACAAAAATATGTGGAGAGGCTTTCATCCAGCAGTTGATTTATAAAGAGGGCCATGCCGACTTACTGTGTGGCGAAAAGTTAAATTGCCAGCAAAAACTCCACTCCCCACTCCAACAGCTTACACACGGCACCCATTTTTCCTCCATCTTGTGCGATTTCCTTGCCCTCTGTTAAAGTCAACCACTTGACCCCGTGACCCGGTAACCTCCATCCCGCATAATCGCAGTCACGTACTCATCCATCACCGCGCATTCACCTCCTCCACGCGCTCTCCTGTGCTCTCGCAACAAAGCAAACCAGAATCAGAATCTTTATTTAAACTGGAGGAATCCGATGAGCTATAAAGCAATTTTTTCCTGATGTCCAGTTAGAAAGTTATAACAACAATACCAAAATACGACAGGAGCGCAAAGTATAGTAAACAAAACTATATATATATCAATGTTTATTTTACCAGGTAAAGCCCACCGAGCTTTTAGCTTCTTTTCCAGAAGCGATCTGGCCACATTTGCTAGCTCAACGAAGTGGCCTTGCCATGAACACGTGGACATTTCCAGTTGCAGCCAAAAGTGGGGAACACCCCCGAGTGAGTGAGACCCCGACTCTGGAGTGGGGGTCTCTAGGCCACCAGCGACGCGCATTGTGGCATCGTGTGGCGACCGCTTGGGGAGGCTTTCATCCGGCAGTGGATAGAGCAGGGCTCATGATTGTCATGATGATGATGATGCTGCTGCTGCACGTGTACACACACTATTCCGTACCACCGACATTGTATCATAACATCGATAGCCTAACACAAGGGTTGCCTCAACTGCGGTCTCTGAATATTTGTGTCAAATGTTAGTCCCCTCCTCTACGGCATCGTTTATCCCGATTGTCTTAAACTAATACAATATTGTATAACCCATATAATAATGACAAGTAGGCAGACGGTCCTGGGTGATATGTAAATTATAATCTGAGAAAATCGCATTAGGAGTGCACCAAGACTGACAACGTTAGAGAAGCAGCCCCAGGAATAAAGGAAGGAGGAAAGCCTTTAAAGCCATGTTTATGTAAATGTGGCTTCGTGCATCGGAACACAATGACAGCAAAGCTCATTTATATCAGGGCTAGAAGGCTGACATCTGAAACAATTATAGTCAATCTTAGAACTCAACAAACCCGAAAGCTAACCCACTGTGCCCAGTCCCACACAGCCAGGGGTTGAACTGGTTTCACTCGGTCTGGGGCGACACCAAAGTTCTACATCGCTTCAATTCTCCGACTAAACACTTACAAACACATACGACAGCCACCGTCATTCATTGCCCGTGCGTTGTGACACTAAGGCCGACAAAATGCGGTCTTCTGTATATTTTGACGCAGGTTCACAAAGCCCATAAACAAATATTAACAGTAAACAAGCCATATACCGTATGTTGAACTTCTTTCGCACCGTACGTAGCCACCCGTGATAATCGGAGGTTAGGTACTGAATGTGTTTATCTTCGAGTGGACAATGTTGTGCAGCGCTTTGTCAATGCACTGCTGGATGAGTACCTCTTCACCATACTTCACCACGCAGGTCAAAGCGGGTTGGCGAGGCGGAAGGGCGGTGAGCCCAGATGCGGTTCTGATATCAATTCCCAAAGACGAGAGCCGTGGCCAGGATTCGAACTCGGAGAGAACTGGGTTCACTGCGCCACCGCTCTACCGTCTGCAAGTACTATAGCAATGCCGCTTGTGAGACTTTCAGTGGACACCGACGACACGCGCCTTGTGGACCTGTGGACCGGTGGTGGTGGTGTGGACCACTGGTGGTGGTGTGGACCACTGGTGGTGGCGTGGACCAAGTGGTGGTGGCGTGGACCAAGTGGTGGTGGCGTGGACCACTGGTGGTGGCGTGGACCGGTGGTGGTGGCGTGGACCACTGGTGGTGTGGACCAAGTGGTGGTGGGGTGGACCACTGGTGGGGTGGACCAAGTGGTGGTGGTGTGGACCCGAGGTGTGGACTTTACCTTCATGTCGTTCATGACGGCTTGGAAGAGCCCTCCCAGCGCTCCGCACTCTTTCTCAATGACCGTCTCCATCGTGACGGCCCACGGGCGAGAGAGACGAAGAGGTCCTGCTGATACTGCTGCTGATACTGCTGCTGATGATTACGGTGATGAGGATGACGACGATGGCGACTTATGGGAAGAATGTAGCAGGCGGAGAGATCACAAGCGAAGTGTCCCCACGTGGGCAGGCAGAGGAGGATGATGGAGATGAATGAGGATGATCAGTAGATTCCTTTCGGTTGACAAACTTCTCCTCGACTCCAGAGCGCCTAACAATGATGGTGGTGCTGGTGTTGAGGAGCAGGAGGTAAGCCGAAGTGACTACAAATGAACAATAATCTTTAGTTCTTTGCACAAATAACAAAGTTTACGCTTCCGGAATAACCAAACACTCGGACCCGGAGCGTGCAAATCGCGACAATCCCCACGCCAACTGCAGCAGCTCCAAGAGCGGCGACAATTTTCACTTTCCCTCCCCTCCCGATTCTTTTGTGTCCCCCTGCTGCTTTAGCGCTCTCCTTCTTCTCCTCCTCGTCCTGCCGCTGCTTCTGCTGCTTCTTCTTCTCCCACAAATCAGCAGCCGACGATGCCGGTTTGCGACCGAGCAGCGCGAAGAGGCGCGGCCAACAACGCAAACGACCGCGCCACTGAGCAGAGGGTGTCGGCGCGGACGATGACGATGGAGAAGACTTCTCAAGCAGCGGTGCTGGAGGTTGATGGTGGTTGTGGAGGTTGTTGGTGGTGGTGGGTGTCGACCAGAGCGGAGTTCTCTTTAGCGTCTCGTGTGCGCGCTGCGTGAGAGCGGAGGATGCATGGCTCCGCCGCCGGGCGACACGGAGGGGATGAGGTGCGGGGAGCCCGGGAGACGCTGGCTGCCTGTGCGCTGCGTGGTGGTGGTGGTGGCGGTGTTGTTGTTGTGCGGGGGGAGGAGGAGGAGAGGGAGGAGGAGAGGGGGAGGGGGAGCAGAGCCGCCCCTCGGCCCCCGTGCGCACGGGCGCACGCCACCGCGTGGCCGCTTGCGCGCTCATCACCATCACCACGATCATCACCATCATCACCATCACCACGATCATCACCATCATCACCATCACCACGATCATCACCACGATCATCCGCCAGTTCGTTCATCAGCTCGGTCGTTTGTTCGTGAATTCTTCTGTTCACTCGCTGCTCGGTCGTCTATCTGTACCATCTCTCATGTATACACTCGTCCGTTTGCTCGTTCATTCTTTGATCCGTCCATTCATGATTTCCTTCGGTAATATGTTCATTCATTCGCTTGGCTCATTGATACGTTGTTTCATTCATCGTTCCAGAGTGAATTTTTCTGTTCATGTGTTAACCAAAGAAATGATTCGTTAATTCGTCTCCCCAATGGGCTAATTGCTGTGATTATTCACCCTTTCATCTGCGCATTGATTTGTGCGTTCGTTTCACTTCTTGTTAACTCCAAACCGGATCTACCATGGCATATACAGTGTCCACACATTGTCTCAATGTGTTCTCACCTCGTTAAAGAAGTGAAGTACAGTATTCGTTTATGCATCCGTCGCTTTATTTATGCGTGCGTTCATTTCTTTGTTTGTGTACGTGTGCATCACTTCGTCATTTAGTTAGTTATTCCTTGCTTCCATCATTCATGACTTAATTCGTCCACGCTTCAATTCCTTCAACTAATCATTCATCCATCCGTGTGTTGATGAGTTATCGCAGCCCGAGTGTGCCAGGGCTGTATGGTGAAGGCAAATTAAAATTCCATGCCCTGCTTGAATTCTAAATTGAGTGCCGGGGAAAGTGGGCACTGTGCTTGGTGCATTGCGCAATCTTCCCGGCGCCTTCCATAAATAACGAAGCCAGAGCCGTGCATTGTGCTGCTACACTGGCCTAGCAATCACAGTGAAAACAGATGCGAATCAATTCCATAGTATTGGAACATTCAAGTGATGGGCTGCTGCGTTTGCTGCGGTCTATCCAGGTCGATGCCAGCTTTGGCACCGCTATAGCTCGAGCCAACCCAAGTCTTAAAACTCACTCAGACTTTAGCCAATACCTTCACCATATCTCGAACTCAAGCCCAACATCTAAACCTGAACCCTTAGCTCAACATTAAATGCAACCCGAACTCTGGCCCTAACCCGAGATTTAACTTTATCCCAAGCCAAAGCATTATACCCATAATCTAACCGAAACCCAAGCTCTAGTTCTAGGACAAACTCTATTTTAACTCGAACACAAACACAGCCCTATATGGCGATAGCCGGGCATGCCTTCAGCGTGTATGATAATTGATGTGCATTGTATATACAGCGCTCATTGTGAGTGCAATGTTTCTGCACCCCCACCCACCCACCGACGCGGGCGCTGATGATTTTACCACGAGAGCAGCAGCGGAGCCCTCGATCTCGGTTGTTTTGTTCCACTTGAGCGGATTCACATGTGCGGCACCCGGTGTCTGATCATAAATGCAGCTGTAAGAAATTCAATTGGACACATGCACACACGTCTCCGGACAAAAAAGGGGGGGTGGGAGGGGGGAGTCCAGCGGCGGCAGCCGATCCCTGGGGGAGGATGAAGGAAACGGAGCTGGTCTTGAGCGGCTCATAATGGCCTTCCAGCGGTGTCACCACACCTGGGGCGTGCAGGGGGGGGGGGGGGGGGGCACGCCTGTGCTTCTATTGGGATGCACGTCCCTGCCCCGGCTTTTGTCGTTAATGTCCCTGCCTCCATGAATGGAGGACGTGGACAAAAGGCCAATCAATGTGAGCCTCCTCCGGTGCTGGCATAGGGGTGGAGGCGCTGTGGTGCACTTTGCCCTGGGTCATAAAAGCCCCCCACACGGCAGGGCTGTTAGGAAACACCCTCATCGGGAGAACGGTCCGCTCCACAAAGACCCACACCTGTGCACACCACGCACACGTGGCAGGCACGGCGTGTGTTCATGGGCGCCTGCCCAGTTCAGCAAAGCTTCCCTACGTTGGTGAACCGCGGGCAAGGGGTATATGTAGCTTGTCTCTGTTTCTAGAAACATTGGTCATCGATCCTTCGAATGGATCGTTTTTACAAGTTTATCAATTTACGAAGATACATCGCCTGCGTCTGGAGATGCAATAAGTGCATTTTGAGAATGAATGTAAGGTCCCGGTGATGGAGAGCCAATGACAGTGGGAAAAAGTAAATACACAAACGGCGGTAATTCACTTTATCTGCAGCGCAGGTTGTTGGGGTTGTGCTGTATAGCCCTGTGATGTGTTTTTCAGGCTGGAGCATGTGTTGATCCGCATGATGCCTGACACTTCAGTTCCTGTGTAAGCTTTCAGCGCGTGGAGCAACACGTCAGCACACCGTGCTGAAAAACACGCGGTACAACCTGAAAAACACATCGGAGAGAGAGCAAATGATTGTATCTACCTAGAAGAGTGTATCTAACTATTTCACTTCGGAGTGCTTGCACAACAACCGAAAATAACCGTGTGGAGTGATAGCAACGCAACGTAGATGCACACGTGGTGTCTGTATCGACCGGGCTGACTCGAGACCAGAAGACCAGCTCACCTATTGAAGCAATTGTAAAATGTCCAAGGCACCGTCTCTCTGTATTTTATGGCGTTTGCTTTTTTATTGCCATCGTTAGGCACGCGCGCGATGTCACCAGACATGCGATCATGTGTCAGCGGTTAAACACCTCTGTATGGAGTACACGAACGGCTGCCGATGCTCATGAATGAACAATGCACGTGGGTCGATTTTACTAGGTTCCCTAAGCCTGCGACTGCGTGTACTCTTTGGGTTTTTTTATTTTAAAGTTTTAAATCCCTTTCTGTGAATGTGTCGTGTAGTAACTACACGTCTCCTGGGTGTCAAGAGCTACTACACTACAAATGTATATTTACTCTCTTTATTTTAAGCTTTCGTGACTGCAGGAATCCATTCTTTCTGGTTCTTTCGGTAAAGTCACGTGGGTAGAGAACATAATACAAGAACACGACGTTTCGGTCGCAACACAAGCGTCCATCACCTGGTGACGTCACCTGGTGACGGACGCTTGTGTTGCGACCGAAACGTCGTGTTCTTTTATAATTGTTTTCTCTCTACGTGACTTTGCCGAAAGAACCAGAGAGTATGTTTACTCTTTTACCGTACATGTGCATGTACATGTGCATGTGCAGCCCTTTGGTCAGTCCACTGCTGCATGCCTGCCTTTCCAAGCTGATGGGGTTATGGAGGTCAGTTGACTTCACCAAGCTGCAGGTTGGAACATAGTGTGGCGCAACAATGGATGTTGCTGCATTTCCCTCTGCTGCTGGCAAACTATCCCCCGTAGCAGCCGATAGCACCCGGTTAATGCACAGTGGTCACCCATACAAGCACCTTCCAGGCTTAGGCCTGCTTGGCTTCCAACAATATTTGACAAATGGAAGCATTCTTTATTGCCATCACTTTTTATTTACTCATAATTGATTTATTTTGGGGTAGATCGTGCAGCTATAATTTCAACGAGCACGGTTGGCTACATACGGTGCGAAAGAAGTTCAACATACATAACCCTCCACCATCCAACAAAGCCAAACAAATGAAGTTGTCATTGACAAATATGCCAATTGATTTAGACTTCATGTATTCGGATAACGCCAGGAGGGTTTTCTAATAAACAGTAGATAGGGCAAACATTCACACGCAAAGAAACCTCTCTACACTGTAGCTACATCATCTGGAGTTGTACATGGAACATGCAAACAAGAGAACGGAAACTAAACAGGCCAGTGAAGGCCACTTCAGTGAAGGTCGCTTCAATGAAGGTCACTTCAGGCAGACCGCACAGACTCCTCACTATGGCAGTGGAGCAGTGCGAGACTGCAGTGCCATGTGCCGCCTTAAGAGTGTCAGACATGACTTAGAGAATCAGCTCGTCGCGACGCCATGCTCGGGTTGTGAGCTAGTCACGGCCTCTTTTTACAGACGTGGGAGCAGTGGCGTAGTGCAGTTAGCGCACAGTGCTACGAACCCGGAGGGCCTTGGGTTTGATTCCTGGCCAAGGCTAACGTCAATGAGACGCGATATCAGCTCTTGGTCTTGAGCTCACCCTTTAACCAGCACTGATCATTGTGGTGAAGTATGGTCAAACATGCCTCATAACCGATATAGCATGGGTTAGCCTTCAGCCAGCAGTGCATTGACAAAGCGCTGCCATTTGTTTTTGATACATAAACAGATTGGACGGTAGAATCATATGTTTTTGACATGTTAAACTATTATTCTGGGAAGTGGTCAGACGTTATGACGTTCCACATTTCGAATAATATTTTCTTCGCATCGTCGGCAGAATGCACTGTTCATGCAAGGTGAGCAGCCGAGATGCACGCTGGCAATCGCTTGGCAGATTTCTCTGGGTGCAACGTACAAGATGCGAATAATAAACGTGAAAGTGGTACGTGAACAGGTTTCATTGAGCCTGGGGGCTTAAAACGAGAACTGTCAAGAATGGCCCACGAATTTACCCAGCGAGCGTATTTCCGTATTGTAGCCGATGCACGTCTACGATTAAAAATACTGTCCGCGTTTAAGTTTGGAACGCCATCTGCGAATGCATGCAATCTCGGCAGGTTGGCAAACAACATGAAGCCACAGACAAAACCCAACGCCTGAGTGCGTCCTTGCGTTAAATTATTAACATAAATAAACAATGCATTGGTAATGGTAATGCATAATGTAAGCGCCACACAAATTCATTTGGCTCTATTACATATGTGCAGCTCAGACAAGGGGTTGCATGTTTTGTGAATCTCAAAGCCAACCTGTGGTGCGGTGCGGAGATCGAAGCAATGACAGTGACACATCGCCGCATCAGGAACGCACAAGGTGGAACGGATGACGCATGAGCTGCAACCGGACACGTGGCAAAACAAAAACAATCTCTGCAAAAG